AGATGAAGACCAAGGTAAATTTACCGATTTCAAAACCAAAAACACCGTTGGAAATGTTTCGAAATTGGTTGAAAATCGTCGTTTTAAAATTTCCATATTTGTGTATGGCTGTTTTTGCAACCTGTTCAATTTAAACTGTTTCGCATTTTGTTTTACTTCGTATTTGAAATTAAACTTTAAAATAAAGATAAATATGAAGACGAAGAAACAAGTGATAAAGATGACGACAAAAAAAGGCAAAAGGGAAGATAAAGACGAAAATGGAGACAATGAGAAATACATAAGAATTAGGGTAACAGAGTTGAAATTTTTCGATAGGAATACTGAAATTTATCGAATCATCGAAGTTTATAATTATCGAAATTTATTCATGCTTATTAAGTTATCCCAATAATAATAATAATAAATTGGCGCTTACACATATGTTAGTGTTTGGCCGAGCTTCTCCTCCGACTTGTGGCGTGCCACTTGATGTTGTCACACAAAGCGGAGGGACCTACAGTTTTACGCCGACTCCGAACGGCGATTGTATTTTTATGAGAAGCTGGTTTTCATGGCAGAAATACACTCGGAGGTTTTCCATTGCCTACCGAGGGACGACCGCTGTTAAGAAAACACCTTTTTCTATATTTTTTGCGATGTTGCTTTGACCAGAGCTTGAACCCAGGTACTGCTGAGTGAAAGCGCGCACTGCTTACCACTACACCACAACGGCCGACAAGTTAAGTTATCCCAACGTATCGAATTATTCAAACTGATCAATGTTTATTGAGTTGTCGAAATTTATAGACACAGAAACTAATTTGCCCAAATTTACGGATAGTTATCGAACCATAAAAACGTGTCGGATTAACGAAATTTGTCAAGTTAAAGAAATGTATCAAGTTATCGATATTTATTGAATTATTATTTATATACTTAACGAAATTTATCGAGGTGTCGTAATGCATGGAGTTCTTTCAACTTACAGAGTTATCGATAATTATTGATCTACTGAAATTGGTTGATTCAACGAAGCGAAGATTATGGAATTTTCAAAATGTATCGATTTATCGAAATTTCAAGGTTATATAAGCTTATCGATTTATCACTGCTTATCGAATTTAATCGTCTTAAAAGAGTGTAACGAGTTATCAAAATGTTTAGATAGTTTTCGAAAAATGTGGAGATGTCATAAGTAAAAATTTATGAAGGTATCCAAAGTTTTTACATTTTTGAGTTATCGAAATTTATCGAGCCATCGAATTTCACAGTTATCGAAATTGGGCACGAATTTTGTTGAGTTATCGAATTTTAGTGTTCTTGAAATTCTTCGAACTATCGATATGTATCAAATCATTGAAATTTATCGATAAACTTGAATGTATCGGGTCAATTGCAAGTCCTGCCGAAGTCCTTCAAAGACCTTCTCAGATAAAAAAAAATTTAGTTACGTTTTTGCAGAAGATTTTCCGGTTAGCTAATTTGTACCGTATAAGTTTTGCTACGTGTTAAGTTAGAAAACCTCTCCAAGGCTTCTAAAACTAGAAAAACTGTCGAACTTCGACAGTAACTGGCACTCTAGTCTAAGGATAAAAATGGTTACATGATTCTTCGCAGATAACGCATTCGACACGTAAAAATCTAAATGAAGCAAAGCGTCAGCACAACCCTTTCCAGACTTAAAGGCAACTTGGTTGGTAGCAATAAGTTTTTGACTATCCATAAACCATGATAGTCTCTTAGCTATTATTCTATCAAAAATTTTTGATATAAAAGGTAGCAGTGAAATTGGCCGAAGCCCATCCACGCTTGACATATCCCCCTTTGGTTTAGGAATCGGAACTATTGTATCAAGTTTCCATGCATTTGGAGTTATACCTGATTTTAATATTACATTGTACAAATTTATCAATCTCTGCTTACCTAGTATAGATAGCTGTTTTATCATCTGATAGGAGATACGGTCTAGTCCCGGTGTCCTACCCTTCACCTTACGCAGACAGTCCTCCAGTTCCACCATTGTGTTCGGTTCTTCAATGAGTTTTGCTTGTTTGTTTGCAGTTGAAGTAATATTAATACCATTTTGCATATTTTTAGATTGATTATACAGGGGCGAAAAGTTGCTGTTTGAAGCATATTCAGACCATACTTTTCCGATATAATTCGTAATTTCCTTAGTATCGATAAGGGTACCGTTTGGATTTTTACTGCAGTAATAGTGCTGCTGCTTGACTTTCCTGACAACCTGTTAATTTTTTTCCAAATGTCTGAGATGGTAGTCTTTGTTAATTGATTTCGTGAATTCCTCAAAACTTTGTCTTTTAGCCTTTTTCACTTCGAATCGAAATTTAGCATTTCATTTTTTGAAATTAATCAGATTAGGAAGTATTGCGTTACTTTTAAATAATTGCCAAGCTGTCATTTTCTCCTTTCTTAATTTTGCAAGGTTTTCATTCCACCAAGGAACACTAAACGTTTTTTTATTTTTCGATTGGGGAATGTGTAGATTAGCTGCAATTCTTATGGCTTTAGTAAACGAAGCTGCATCACTATTACTTCTTGAACTAGGTTGCATTGGACGTTGTTGTAAATTTATTTTGACCTTAATGGGGAAGTGATCGCTATGATGCAAATCCTCAAAAACTGTCCATGAGGCGATGGGGAAAAGGCAAAGTGAGCAACAAAAAATATCAATATGTGAAAAGCTATTATGTGAAGAAAAATGTGTTGGTCTACCATCATTTAAAATGCATAAACCAGACTGGACAATAGCGCTCTCAACAATATCTCCGCGGTTGTTGTTTCTAACAGAGCCCCACATCGTGTTCCAGCTATTGAAGTCACCAAGAACAACTATAGGAGTGTTAAAAGCCAAGAAAATATTAATTAGATCCTGATGATAAAAGGTTTGGGAGGGTGGAATGTACACTGAAATGATTGTAAATGTAACGTTTAGATTAATTTCGATAGCAACTACTTGTAACGGCGTATTAATGATACACAATTTGTGTGGAATATTCTTTTTAATAAGAACTCCCACTCCTTGCTTTGCGTAGTTATTTAGTGGAGTGGGGTGGAATAGGTATAGAATTCGATTGGCAATGTGTCTCTTGTAGAGATATAAAATTCGGCGTATACTCATTTATAACGAGCTGAAGATCACAGAGATTGTTAAGGTAACCTCTTATGTTCTACTGGAGAATTTTAAGATCCATATTGTTTCGAGAAAAGCTCAATTTTCGTACGTCTCCGTACGAAAAAGACAGAAAAAAAAACATAAGAATTAGCACCACATAATTGAATTAGGTGAAATATAGTAAAATTTAGACGTTCAGCTAGAGAGGTTTTCCTTTGCTTTTTGAGTGAAAATTTGTAGCTACGGACTGGATTATGAAGTATAGATTGTGACTTAACATTGACTGTGAAACATATATTGCATTTTAACATGGCTATGTTAAGTGCGTTTTTGCCGTTTTTGCTTAGTTTAAGTTTTAGTTGCAAATTACCATTGAAAATTATCTTAAATGTTAGTTCGAGTGTGTAATGAGTAATTTTGTTCTTATTTTCTGTTAATCTTACATTGGGTGCATTTTTTACTCTAAAAGTCATAGTAAGTGTGTAATTGTTTGATTTGATATTTGATTTAATGCTTAACATAGAGTTATCATTACGCATTAACATAAATGTGCCAAATGTTCTGTCTTCCCTGCAGGGAAGCTTAGCTTATACCTAACTTTAGTCTGTTTACGCGAACACTAGTGCTGACTATTAACTGTGTATTTTGTTCGAAAAAAGCTAACTACATTTGTGGGGCGATGGCCGCAAAAAAGTCAGACCTGGATACCTCTGCATTACATGTCAACTAACTTGTAACTAACTACTTTTGGACATAAAATATCAATAAGAAAAACAAAATATTTTTTTGTTTTTTTACTTTTTTATTTACTTATTTATTTACTTTATTTTATTACATTTCATATTTGTTTACATATTCTGCTCTGGGTGGCCCCATATTCGAACACCGTCAGACATAACTTCAAAATGATAGTATAAAATTTCGATCTTCCTTTTATTTGTCCTGAATATGAAAAAGAATCTGCGAAGTTCAGAAAAAAAGTGTATTGAAAGTAATTTTTGTATGAGGATATTTAATAGAAACTTGTAAAGAAAACCAACTCCCGATTGCGTCTGCATGACTCCTGCACGACTTTACAATTCACTTTAAGTTGGTTTTGTCATAGCTAATTAAAAGTGAGGTATTAATCGAAATCTCGCCAAAAAGCTAACTATAAGTTGGTTAGTTTTAACAATTGATAATTTTTCACTGCAGGGTTGTTTTCTCATGTTATTGACATAGAGTACCAAACTGTTATTGCATGTTAGCATAATTATGGAAAGTATGTTGGTTTAGTTGTGTCTCCTAGTTCTTTTTCTTTTACGTGTGCTATTTGTGTTGTTGTGATATATACTATTATTGGTACACATTACTGTTGAGAATATTAAGTAAATATAAAAGAGAGCTTATACAAATAAAGTTATTGTTGGTTTTTAAAACTTAATATCTAACGCCATGGCATCAGATGAGTCCGATGCATCCATGTTATGTTCCAATATGTTGTCTTTTGTTATTTTAGCGTTCTCTGTTGAGGTTAACTTCCTTTTAATTTGTTGTTTTGCTCTTTTTGAGATTTTCCTTGGAAGTATTGTAACACCTTTTATTTTTTTTGTTGAGATAAGTTGATTTGAGTTGGAGTAGCTGGCATCGTCTCTTTGATCAACACTTACAGTTGGAGAGGATGATACAGGTTCGGTTGGGAAGTCGGAGTAGTCGATGATTTCTCTTTGAGTAGAATTATTTAATGTTATGTTGAATGTAGAATCTCTTTCAGGAATTGAAGATGTGAAGTTAACGGTATTGGAATCTACAATTGAAGAATATGCAAGACCAATGTTGGGATTACGTTGCTTGTATGTTGATATCGCTTTCTTCCTGTCCATTTTTTCTAGGACGAATTCGGTAAGGGGAGGGGGTGTGGGCCCCACAAATCCCCCCTAAACGAAAGAGGATTGACGCCGCTTTATGAAAAGTCACCCCCTCCCAACCCCTCCCACAGACCTCTGGGGAGCTGTTTGAAAGTAGGGGAATTTTAGATTTTTTGCGAGGAAAAAAACAAAGTTAAACTTGCGTCCGAAGAAGGGGGGCTGAACACCTTTTGCAGAGGATTATAACCCTTACTACGTAGAATTCTCCTTTCTGTTACTGTTCTGTTTACTGGGTGTTTTATAAAAATATTTTGTATATAAAAATGTATATACAAATTTATAACAAAAATTTGCAACAAATACCATATTTCCAACCGACATTGTTGTTAAATTAGTGCACAGATTTAGTTAGTTTAGGTTTTAAATTAGAAAAACTATAAGAGCTACACACAGGCTTATTTCTCCTCACCACCACAATCATGTTATCACCTAGATACGAAATTGGCGATACAGTGCGTGGCATCGAATTAGCCCCACGTAAATAAAAATACGAATCAAAACGTTAATATCATGCAAGTTATCGAGATGTTCGTCGCATAACTTCATAGCTACCCAAATCAAAAAAATAAGATAAAAATCAATACATAAATAATCACCTATGTATGTACAACTCGCCTCCTAATCAATAATAAAAAAACATATATTTATATATATATATATACAGATGCATATACATACTACAAAAATTCGGAGCGGAAACTCGGCCTTCCCGCCCGATCACATCAGGGGATTGGAAACTTGGGCTTTCCGACCCAGGTTAATATACGCAAACACGGCAAAGTGGATCGGAATCTCGGCCTTTTCGACCACCTTCAAAAAAATTAAAAGCGCTATGGAGCGGAAACTAGGCCTTTCCGCCCGTAGTCTATACATCCACGATCAATTTTATCAAATACGGCATCGAGGTAGACTGGAGACTCGGCCTCGCCAGCTATCGACTGCCTTAAATTATTCCAACTATGTGCAAAGAAATGTTTAACCACGTCCTTTCGTACTAACCTGCTTTTTCCAGGAAGCCGAATACAGCTTATATGTATTTTTTAAATTTATTTGTTAATGTAGGTGTGTTGGCTGAATGGCTCGACAGATGTTGCTTATAGCAAGGGGGCCGGCATGTTTAGGCCACTAGCCTAAACCAAATTCTGAAAGGGTGAACCACCCTAATGTTCATGNCACAAAAATACATTTAAGGCGCAGCGAAGCACGCCGGGTAATTGCTAGTATGAACATATAAATAAGTGCATTATTTTTCCCGCCAATTAGTATAACGAATTAGCCAANTCGCCAGCTATCGACTGCCTTAAATTATTCCAACTATGTGCAAAGAAATGTTTAACCACGTCCTTTCGTACTAACCTGCTTTTTCCAGGAAGCCGAATACAGCTTATATGTATTTTTTAAATTTATTTGTTAATGTAGGTGTGTTGGCNTAATTACCTTCGAAAATATATTAACTCAAAAAAAAAAATAAACAATGCTTCATAGATCGATTTCTTTTAAATCTAACTTCATAAAGTTCTTTAAAAATATTTTGTAAATGAGGCCATAAGAGCTTAGGGGGAGAGTTACAACACAAAAATACATTTAAGGCGCAGCGAAGCACGCCGGGTAATTGCTAGTATGAACATATAAATAAGTGCATTATTTTTCCCGCCAATTAGTATAACGAATTAGCCAATTGAGGGTTCGGCTCAATCCGTCAACAAACAGCGCGGTCATTCCAGTTTTCACTTTATCAAGCACGGACGCCTTTCAGCCACCACCCTTCATCACACACTAAAGGTAATATTGTAAAATAGTCTCCTAAACTAACAACTTTCAATAAACACCAAGTACGTAATTATTAATTTTAATCTCCATCTGTGTCGTTTTCTTGCATTCTTTTCATTAAAACATGGATGCTCTTCTGGAGTTGCGAGCCGCATAAGCGTCAGTGTTTCCATGAGTCAATCACATTTAATTTAAGATTTTCGATTCCACGTATCTTGGATGTAGTCGTTTGGACAGTAAGTAACTATTTTGTCTGAAGATATATTAGTGAGCGAATTCGGTAAGGGCTTTATGGAATCTCATTACTTATGTATGTATGTAGCAGAACTGTGCTGCGATCGAAAACAATAAATTGCGCTAACCAAAGTATCTGAACAAAAAAAAATACAATAAGACGACCCAATCTGGAAAATTTACAGATGCATTTCATTTCGGTGACAAGTATTGGAGTTTAGTTTACTATTTCATACAATCGAAATGATTGTAGCAAGTTGTTGAATGGTCATTGGACTGGGTTGCGAAAATAAGTTTTAATTATAAAGGGTGACAACTAAAGTTTAACTCACATATTTCGCTAGTAGATTGAAGATGAAGGTTCTCTTGGTGTTCTTACACCCTTCTCGAGAAAAGAATTTCGTTGCACGTAGGAGTGTAGAAGCAGTGGACTTCATATAATTTTGCGGGCTTTGGTAGTGGAATATTTTAGGTTTTGGAGAAGTGGAATTGGTCATTTGTAGTAGGGTCTTGTAACTTGTTAACTTTAAAGTTGGACTTATTCTGAAGTGTAACTTCAGTTCCTCCCCCGCCTAAAGAATTGAAAAATAAGATTCGCCGTGGTTTCTTGGGAGGTCTCTTTTTTAGGTCACCTTCTCTGGACATGAACCGCTTATTTAATGAGACAGCATTATAGAAAGATGCACATTTGGAGGTTGGGGACATCGGTTCTGTCTGGCCAGTTAATATCCAGCCGAAGACCGTTTCTTGGGCTAGTAATGTCCCGTTCTTTCTAATGCCACCTAATATTAACTGGGCATAAATGT